CGCGTTATTTTGCCTGATTAACAATCTGAACAAAGCCAGCACACTCAAACCCTCGGTCACAATGATTTGTGACTTTGTGCTAGCACAACCATCGATGGCTCCCGTATATATATATATATATATATATATATATGTGTGTGTGTGTGTGTGTGTGTGTGTGTGTGTGTATGCGTGTGTGTGTCCCCTAAAATAGACAAATAAATAACAATGAATTCTAAGCTAATTCTCAGGAATTTCCGAGTTATTTTCTTTTTATACCAATGTTCATCCAATACAATGCCCAAGAGCCACTTGATGTAGAGGGATTACTGTGTTGTCTTTTCATCAAATTTAACTTCCATAATTAATACATTTTCTCTCTGTTTAATTATGTTCATTTATTTAGGTTAAATGGCAAAAGAAATTATTTCAATGTAACCCATATTAATTAGCAAATTATGAAAAGAATTATCCTTCCTCTTCTCAATAGCCAGAGATGAATGATGTTGTGTTATTTGAGATTTGCAATTCGATGACAGAACCAGATGATTCCCATTGTTCTCATATTCATTCATAGAACAAAAGGTTTATTATCGAAGATGGAGTGACCTGTCCCCTAGTCATCATCATTATTATCATTGTCAATGTCATTATCATCATCGTCGTCATCATTATCGTCAATGTCATCATCATCATCATCGTCATCTTCATCATCATCAACCTCGTCATCGTCAGTGCCATAACCGAGTGTTGTCGTAGGGTCTCTGTAGATGAATACCTGACCAGCTCCCACCAAATGTCCCGGTTGCCTGCCAATGTCCGTGTCTCTGTGAATGATTTTCGAATCCACTCTGATATTATCAGACCATTTTTCCCTCTGTCAGCCTCTTCTTTTTTTGCCTAAGTTCGTACCTTGTAGGATGGCAGTGAAAAGGCTGCTGGCTCTCTAATAACGTACCCATCATAGCTCAGCTTCCTCTTCTTGACAGTAGCAATGAGGTCTTCCAATAGACCTGTTTTTTTGTTTGATGGTGTCTCGCACTGCCTTATCTATGATGCACCCAACATAGGTGATGCCTAGGATGCTTTTTACAACTCTACAATTCGTCTGTGTATTTCATACTGTTGCCATATCTACTCTGGTGATCCAACTGTACATCTTGAGATTCTTGACAAAATCCAAATAAATATCTGCAATGTAATCGATCCTGACCTGGCATCTCGACTACAGTCACTTTCTCACCGATGTGGAGTGATTTCTCTCTGTCTTTTCTAGAAATATTTTCATGGCAACTGCTCTGACGAGCTTTTCCCCCTGGTGCCCCGACTGCTTGAATTTAAGCGTATCACTAGATTAGCATCTAAGCCCTACTCGTTTACGGTTGCAATAGCTAAATGCAACCATCACTTCTACTCTAACAGTTTTTTTTCTTGTCCTTCCCGCCTGTGGAACTCCCTTCCGTTTACTTGCTTCCCTGATAAATACAATCTTCAAAAATTTAAATGCAACGTCAATCGCCATCTTCTTTCTTCTAGAATCCCGTTTATCTTTTGTCCTTTCCTCAATTCCTCCTATTCTCAGTCTTTTCTCTCACTTTCACACCCTTAACCCCGCCTCCAACGTACTAGGGGCATCTCCGCCTTGTTTGAGGTGAAATGATTAAAAACAAAGTCAATTTTTAATAATTGACTTCTTCGTTGTAATTCTACTGACAGAGGAATTGGGAAGGCCAATGCTTGCAGTTATGGCAACTGCTGCGATGAGCTACTTTCTCTGGTTCCCAAACTGCACGAATTTAAGCGTGCTACTAGATTGGCATCTCGGTCCCACCTTTTCACGGTTGAAACGGCTAAATGTAGCCATCTCTACTCCAACAGCTTCTTATCCCGCACCTCCCGTCAGTGGAACTCCCTTCCTATCACTTGCTTCCTTGATAGCTATAATCTTCAAATATTCAAATGTAATGTCAATTGACATCTTCTGATGCCTTGACCTTGGTCCTCGTCCTTCTTTTTATCCTCTTTATTCTTACTCTCATTCTCTGTAACCCCAGGCGTGCTAGTGGCACTCCCGTTGTCTGAGTTTCAATTTTAGGCTGATTTTCTTGTCTTTTCAGATGGTTCTAAATTTTACGACAGCTGCCATTGTTTGTATTGCTCTTAAAATTATTTTTATTCTAAGGCCTTATAAATTATAATTAATATAGCATAAAAAGTTTTGGAGAAGGTGGAAGTTGGGGAGGGACTTAAGGTAGCTAAAAAAGTAAAATTACACTAAGGTAATGTGAATTTGTTATTATGTCGACATTTGAAGATTTAAAGGGAGGGGAGTCAGGGGTGATTTAGAGTAGCTAATTAAGGCGAAATTATGTTATGGAAATTGGAATTTGCTTTTAGGTCGACATTTGAACACTAATTTGTTACTCTCATGCTCTGCACGGGTCTGTATACAAAAGTGAGGATGTCATTGGTTTATGAAGGCTTTTAAGTTTCAGAACGTTCACGAATGTTAATTGTCTCTTTTTATTCATTTTGTCTCCTTTACAGATACATTCTATCAGAAAATAATTTTCACACACACACTCACACACACACATAAAAACAACTAATAAACTAATAACTAATAATATATATATATGTGTGTGTGTGTGTGTGTGTGTGTGTGTGTGTGTGTGTGTGTGTGAGTGTGTTATTTTCTGATAGAGTGTATCTGTAGAGGATGATGAAGGTAACATCAATAGGCTAATGAAAACCTTTTACTTGTATATATATATATATATATATATATATATAACAATCATTATCTTCTGTTTCCTTAATTCTTGTTCTTTATTTTTCTCTCTTCTTACTAGTGTTTTTCTCATATTCTCTAACACTCAGTAACTCCTCCCCTTGCTTCTTAGTGGATTTATTGTCTTACGTGGGATGAAATGGTTATATTTGCCAGAGATTTTAGAAGAGTTCAAGGATTTCGAATTTTAGTCTTGTCTCACCTTTACAGCATTTTTACTGTGGTTCATTCTGCCCTACTTCAGACGAAATATTTTTACGTCTCAGTGTCTGTTCACAAAGTAGATTTTTTTTTACATAATGTGGTAACGCCATTTTTTGTGTTCCTTTTTGCTGACTAACAGCTTCTTGTCATAGCGAGTCTTTTTTTTTTAATTCCAGTTTAGTATTTATTTCTGACTTCCTGTCTTCAAGCCTAAAATTATTCTAGTTCCTTCTTTTGTACCATAGACGTAACTAACAAAAAAAAATATAGATTAGAATGGAGAAAAAATCGATTAGTATAAAAATAAACAATGACTAAATCAGGAACACATACGGCTCCGCCATTGCAGAGCACCTTATAAACAATCCAAGTTGTGCCACAAACTTCAACATTAACTCATTTTCCATCGTTAGTCATGCTCATTCTGTGTTACTTTTAAAGGTATTGGAAACGATCTATGTCAGGTCCAGGCAGCCCTCCCTCCCTAAACAGAGGGAATGTCTGTTTGGGCTTTACATTGTTTCCATCTGATCTTTCCACCTTTATTTTATTACATGTTTCTCATGTTTTTATATTTTATATTGTAATATTTAATCTTCCCTTGATTTTATCTCTGTTGAGTGAAGGCGAAACTGGTTGGCTGGTCATTTTTTTTTAATCATGAATGGTAAAGCTCATTTTGCCGTTTTTATTTCCATAATAAAATTTTGTACCCCCAAGAAAATAATGAAATCACTAAATCATACATTTTGATCGAACAGCATTCTGATTATCTTTAATCCGAGTGTAAATACTTTACAAAGCGTAGAATTACCGCAACTTAAAAAAAATTAAAATTTGATCAGTCATCTTTAGTAAGCAAGAGAAAAACAGAAAATATTCTTTTCTATCAACAAGCAGTTCCTCTGAACTTCTTTTGGTGATGACCCAAAACTCTAAATATGGTGATAAGTGTTCAGCTTCATATTTCAGTAGTCGAATCGTTTTGAATATAAATTCAATTTTGCATATCGCACTTTGTTTTGTTTTTGTTTTGTTTTTTTTTTCCTAGATTCTTGCTATAATGAATATGCAATATTAACACATTTGATCAGCTTTTACATGCACTTCTTCCGACCACTGGTCACGTGATCAGTGTTTTAACGTTGTCACACGACAGAATGTTAATGATAATATAATCCATTTCCTCAGATGGAAATATTCATCAATCGAACGGCCAGTGATCTGTCGGTTGTAATTTATCAAATTTTTCAGTAAATTAAGTTTCTCAAAAGTGTTTAAATTACTCTCGATTAGTTTGTAACACGTTTATTTATTATCTCCCAGTTGCATCTCTGTCTTTGGGCCGTGTGCGCTCAGGGACGGCTCCGTCAAAGGACAGAGTCGCAACTGAGGGAAATTATACTGAGAGGTGCCCAGCCCTGCGGGACACCTGCTCGAGGTCGCGCCCTCTCATTGCACTAGAAAGACGTTTGTGGGGGCTCGGGCAATTTTTGTTCCTAGCCCGGGTTTACGCGCTCGGGTTCCCCACATTAAACCCGACCTCGTGGTTGAATAAATACAAATTAGGTTTCTCAAATCCACTGTCATGGGTGCCAGTCTACTCCTCATCACCATATAAATCTGATGGAGGAAACAGTTTGATTGGCTGATACGCGATCATCGTCTTTGTCTATAATACAATAGTCTTTGTCTATAATACGCTAATAGGTTTAACTATAATATTATTCTTTAGATGAAATATTGATTATTATTTATTTATTTATGAACTTACTAATTTAGTTGTCGAATTATTTCTTAGTTAAAGCATCGTGAATTATTATTAATTATTGACGAGTATATCTTAATTCCCCTTGCTTTTTATCGCAACTGCCGATCCGTTGTTCTACAGCCATTATCATATTTAGCGCTTGCAAAAACTTTTACACATTTAAGGAGATATTTAAATAGATTTAATCTCTTCTTTTAACAAGATTTGTTCAAAACACATTGGTACGTTTAGATGCTAATTCGTTATCTCCCGAACAAGTGAATTTGATGTTGTTGGGAAAAGTATAAAGAGATAGGTAGATAGGTAGATAGATAGATAGAGAGAGAGAGAGAGAGAGAGAGAGGGGGATTTCATTGTAATTTTTTAAAGGCCATATGTGGAACTCATTTGGTGATAAACATGTTACTTCACTTCGCTAGTCTGTTTCCTTCAGCGATCTTTTTCCCACCTTGTAGCAATTACAGTAAGTTTATCGATTCACTGGAAACTTTGCTAACGACAAAAAAGGACCACACTTAGAATTCGAGACACATCACGTGATGACATATGAAGCAAAGATACAAAGAGAGGACATTTTCATCTGAACTAAACCGTTCAAGTCTCTTGTCAAATCCAAGTTAGTTAATTATTATTCTTTTCAACTCAAAAATACCAAGAAAATTATTCTTCACACTGTGAAATGTATTGGCGGCCGAATGTTCTTGTCAGACATTCAATTTCATTGGTAACGCTGTCAGATAATATATCTGACGAAAACAACACTTGGCCGTTTTGTTCGAATGAACGTCTCCTATCTCTGCCAGTCTAAGGCAGTACGCCTACTGATTTTGGAAAGACGAAGTACGCTTTACTCTACTCGTCTATCTTATCGTATCAGCCAAGAACAAACAGGATTTTTTCTAGAGATATAATTAAAGAAGATCTGGATATACAGGATGTTCCAAAAGTCTTGAGCACATTTTGACATTGAATATCTCGAAAACTATTAAGGATATAAAAACACGCCTGGCATATTCTGAAAGAATTTAGTCTCAAGTTTTACATGGAATGTTCAAAGATGTTCAATGTGAGCACCATTGGTCACAGGGCGCACATCAAACCGATAGTCGAATTCATGCCAAACGCGTTCCAGCCTTGCGTTGTCGACGGTTGCAACAGCTTCCGTTATTCAGGCGTTCAATTCATCCACCTTTTTTGGAAGGAGGGAGGCAAATAGACCAGTCCTTTCACAACCCCCCACAAAAAGAAATCGCAGGATGACAATGAAAATAAATGATTCCAGTTCTTTTATTTTAATCTAAATATAATCCCTCATATCCAGATTTTGTAACCAATTCCTCATATCCGGAAGGCTTTCTTAGTACGGTTTTCTCTTTTATATAAGTTTCGTTAAAAAATACTGTCAATGTACTTCAGTTAAGTTTTTTATTTAATTTTTCTTATGTTCTTATAATTTTTTTTTTCTGAGCATAAGTTATATATAAATTATCCGAATGTTTTGTATGTCTAGGCGCTTTCGGCTATTCCTTTAGGTATTATCAAGGATGATTTTATTTTTAATTTTAACTGAATGCATGGATATTTTTTTATGTCTGTATATTGAGTTATAGGATATATTTTTTTTTATTTTCCAAACACGATCAGTACATTGTGGCCGTGTTCAGAAAAGAAAAAATGAGAAGACCACAAGACAAATTAAATAAAAACTTAAACGCACTAACCTGATAGTCGTTTTTAACGAAACTTATATATATATGTGTGTGTGTGCGCGCGCGCGCGCGCGTACGCGCGCTATTTTGAACAGCAGCATTTTTATTTTTATATAGTTGTTTTTAAAATGTTTCAGTTGTTGCTTGGGTTTAAATATTTATAAGATTCTCCTGTCATTTCGTGCTTTCTCTATTCCGTTTGCTTTTAATATCTGCATGTAATACGGGTATAAATGTTCTGCATCGGATATTTTATAAATGCGGCCGCCGCTTCGTAAGCGGTTTTGTCTTGGTAGGCTGCGTCACGCAAATCCTCCGTGCATCCGGTCGGCGTTGAAAACCAGCTTTTGAAATCAACGCTTGACGTGTATTTTTTTCCACCTATTTAAGAATGAAGAGCACTCCCGCAAACGATTTCGCCAACGCACAAACAACAAACTTATCTACGTTATATTATATATATATATATATATATATATATATATATATATATATATATATATAAAAGTGAACATGACGATTGTATATAGCATGGCCTGACGATTGCATATAGCATGAAACAGACTGTCGCCTCTAAGTGTTGACTTCTATGTTCACTTTTATATTCACACGCTCTATCTCTGATATTGAGCACTTTATTCCATAAATATAGCATACCTTAAGACTATATTTCTTTATATATATATATATATATAGGGTATATCAAAAGTACTTTTACAAACTTTTGTGATGTCAACAAACACTCGTTGCCAATTTCGTGATGTCAACGAATACTCGTTGTCACTTTCGTAATGCTCGTTGTAGTAAAGACTTTGTAATCGCAGATACAACTATAGTAATGCCGTTGAACAATGTCGGGGTCAGAAGCCTTCGAATAACACTCGCACTAATTGTACTTTCTCGATAATACACGCCCGACAGGTAACCCGTGTAGTCATCTGAACAGAGAAATAGTATAGTGAATAGAGTAGAGAATAGCGGTCCACATAATATAGAAGGATAGAATAGAAATGGCGATCTTTTAGACGCCAAACTACTTCCCATATATGCGTTTCCTCTATGGTCACGTGGTCTGCTTAATCCAATAATGGGATCGCCTGTGTTTGCTCACTGGCGATCTATGTCCAAACTCAAGTGTCGGCAGCGACACTTTATTCCTATATAACACAAACACTGGCGGTGGGTTCCTCACATCAAACCCAGGACAAAAGTCCATATAAACATATATCTGAAAATCCTTCGTTTTTAGTTAAGTTTCAAGTAAACCTCGCGTTCAATACCATTTGCAGCCATGTGTAAAAATCATGTCTGCCTGCTCACGATATGAATATTATGCCATTATTAAACGGAACACTTCTCAGTTAGCTCACTACTACACACGTTAAACGTTGAAGACAGACTAGCCACAAATGTACATGAATGGCAAATGTAACCTAGTCTACATAACAACACTGCGCCATCTACCGTAAACATACTTAATAACTCAGGAATGCAAAAACTTAATAACTCAAAAACGAAGATTTTCGGACATATATTTACATGAACTCTTGTCCTTGTGTTGATATGAGGAACCTGCCCCAAAGAAAATCCTTCGTTTTTGAGTCATTAAGTTTAAATGAAGTTCACGAGTTCTTTTGTTTTTTTATTTTCTTAAGCGTAAGGGGAGTAACTTTTTTGTTTTTGCTCATACGTATATAATAATTTTTTACATAAGATTTAAGGACTTTGTTGCTATAATAATAGTTGACTTTATCTATTTTGGGCTTTAACTCTCTTATATAAAGGGCTTCAAGAATTTTTAATTTTTTTCTTGTTATTGTTTTTATGTAATATAGATGTATTTTCAACTAATATCTGTGAGTGTGGGCATGAGTGTTCCTTTAAGTGCTGATGTATTGAGCTATGTTCAGCCAAATGAAAATGTAAGTCTTTTTGTTAGTATCGTCGTAGTAACTGTTCGAAAAAAAACATTTTTTTGGTACTTTTCTTACTCAATTTTCTAAATCTACCAAAATATTAATCCGTGAACTTGAAAGGATTACAACAAGAACTAATCGACATGATATGTCTAAATTATTAAAACAAACCTGTTTATATATATATATATATATATATATATATTATTATTATTATTATTATTATTAATAATAATAATAATAGAAATCTTATAAGTATAAGAAACTATACTCGCTCGGAAAACCTTCGGTGTCTTTATTTGCAAATAATCAAACAAATACCAAAGGGGAAAAAAGGTATAAAAAAAGAAAGAACCAAGAACATGTACGTTAGCCGAAAATAATCGTCCAGCATACGAGTCCAGGGCCCAAAGAAAAAAAAACCTGATGCGAGTATCCAAAATAAATAAAGTGCGTAATACAATGAGTAGAGCAGACCTAGTTAAACCTAGAAAGCCAGACAAAATAGCCAGCCTTCCCTGACGATCCGCTTAGGTGAAACCTTGGTAGGTTTTTCTGTCTCTCTAGGTTTAACTATATATATATATATATATATATATATATATATATATATATATATATATGGTAAGAAAAAGAACAAATAGGAAATGTCTATCAGTCTGACATGTTTCACTTTTATTAAAGCTTCATCAGAGAATGAGATATGGAGAAGAAGAAAGAAATTCTGGTATTTTTGATTTCTTTTTTCTTTCTCTCCATTGATTAAATAAATAGCAGAACAGGGTTCAGGCGAGATAACGAAAAGGCAAAATTTATTAATAGCTACAAAGAACAGGAATTTGCGGAGAGCCATTATCGCCAACGTCTTGAAGGAGCGTGGCACAGAGAAGAGGACGATCAGAAATGTGTCCTTGATAAAAAATCAAAAATCAATGGGAAATCTTTTCATTCTTTTCTAATAGAGTGAGAAAAAATGGCCGTCCACTTTGATGTTAGATGATAGAATGAGATCTAATAGAACGTTTGTGTCAAAAAAGTATTTTTGCTTACGTTTAATTGAAAAGAATGTTTAAATATAGAAGTAACAGATACTGGTTTATCATGTTACCGGTGTAAAAGAAGGAAAGAGTATTTTCAAGTTGAAATACCCATTTGAAATGAACCACTACTTTATATCCGTCTTGTTAGACAATAAATGTGCCGATTGAGGGCTCAATTTGATGCGGACCAGCGTCGACTGTAGTTAGACAAGTCAATTTTGGAGTGAAACTATTCTTTTTATTCTGTTCTTTCATTTTACTAACTCTGATCATCAAAAAAAAATAAAATAAAAATATAAAGAAGACTTTTACATATAGTTTCAGAGCAGGGTGACTCTCTCTCTCTCTCTCTCTCTCTCTCTCTCTCTCTATATATATATATATATATATATATATATATATATATATATATATATATATATAGTGGTAGAAATTATTAGGAGGATTTGAAATAATCATAATTAACTAATTCATCAGTATATAAGAAACCTCAACAGAATGCAGAAAGCACTGGACGGCCGTTTCGTCCTACATTTGGGACTCATCAGCAGTGCGCATCCACTACCAAGAATTGAAACCCGGTTATGTTATCAAGCAAACGTCATGCCAACTGTACAAACGGGACTCAGTAACGAAGAGGTAGCGAATTAGACTCGATATAGCGCCGCTCGATCACATATTCAATGGTG